CTTTTGACGGGTTATTTAAAGCAACCAAATACATACATACATATATATATATATATATATATATATATATATATATATATATATATATATATATATATATATAATTTTAAGATATATTTTTTTTTAGAGATAGCTATTTATTGATACAAGATCTACTAATTAACACATAGCTGGAGGAGACGAGGTGGATTAATATCTTTCCCAAGTGTATTTTCGTGTACATTTCTTTCCTTCAATCTACCTTTTCGCATCCCTGACGATGACTCAAGTGAGTCGAAATATTGAACACATTCTTGATTTCGAATTATGTTTGCATCTGCAGCCCCCAGTTGGTAAGGTGCTTTTTACCTGATTGAAAAAGGAAATGCAGTTCCGATTCCTTTTTAGTAGAATCTTTATCTCTCACTAATTATAATGCTTATTTCAGCAACATTATATATATATATATATATATATATATATATATATATAGGTTATGAAGAACTTAGTAATCCGTATGGGTAATCCCAAGGAGGATGGAATCCTGAGAGCTCAATGTAAATCCAGAGCTAATATTTAAAAAGAAAAAAACAGACTACTTTAAGGTACCATTATAATAATTTATTTCACCAGAGCCCTTTTAAAGGACGCCGGATCATCAGATAGCACTTCAAAAAATGAAATGAAACAAAAAAATGAAATTAAAATTGATGGGTTGTGTAAGTTTTGTAATTTAACAGAGAGTGTAAAAGGAGTAGTTAAAGAGACATGGTAGAGTATAGGGAGGATTAATTCATATCTCTCTCAACCATACTTTGTATTGGGGGAGGAGGGTGACCAGACCATGACCTATTTAGACGGTTAACTTAACGGAAGTGATATATTGAAACGGAGGAGAAGGGAAAGAAAAAAAAAAAAAAAAAGAAGAGGAGAGGGAAGTAAAGAGAAAGAGGCTGTAATTGGGTTTTAGCAATTTATGTAAAGAATAGATTTTAATGCTTGATAGGAATTTAGATGTCTAAAAAAACGAATAAATTAATTTGATGTTTTCTATCAATTTAAATATTTAATTTTTTTAAAAACAAATAGTTTACGGATTTAATATAAGTTAAATACTATATTTATTAACACACATATATATATATATATATATATATGTGTGTGTGTGTGTGTGTGTGTGTGTGTGTGTGTGTGTGTGTGTGTGTGTGTGTGTGTAAGCGTTTCACCCCAAGAAAGGAGGAAGCCACTAGCACGCAAGGGGTTACAGGAGTTGGAGCGAGAGCAATGAAGAGTAATAGATGAAAAGATGAAGAGAAGGATAGGGGATAGATCAACGCATCTGGAGAGGTCGATTGACATTACATTTCAATAGTTGGAGATTATAGCTATCAGGGAAACAGGAAAGGGGGGAGGGAGTTCCACAGGCGAGAGGTGCGAGACATGAAGCTATTGAAGTAGAAGACGCGGCTACATTTAACAGTTTCGACATGGAAAGGGTGTGAGCGAAATGCCAGCCTCGTAGAACACTTAAATTCACGAGGTCTGGGAACCAGCGAAAGCAGCTCATCGGAGCAGTTACCATGAAAGTATTTGTAAAAAAGACAGAGGGAGGCGACGGCACGTCTGTAAGAGAGTGACTGCAGATGAGATGCCAGATCAGGGCCTATTACATTGCATATCCGTCTCTGGGTTCTATCAAGAACCTTGAGACAAACTGAAGGGCTCCAGACCATATATGGCAGCAATACTCCATGCAAGGGCGAATGGTTGATTTGTAGATTTGAAGGATCGACTCCGGTGATAAAAATTTCCTGGCGCAGCACAGGGAACCAACTTTCCTTGCGGTGAACGAAGCTATTGACTCGATGTATTTGTTCCATCTCAGGTCAGCAGTCAATGTGAGGCCGAGTAGTCGCAAAGAGGAACTCCCGGGAAGTTGAGCGTCAGACATTTTAATGGGGGACAGGGATGGTTCTCTGTGATGAGTAATAGAAAGCAGTTTTGTTTTTGAGTCGTTAAAGTTACCCAGCCAATTCCTGCCCCAGTTCACAACCAATTGGAGGCCCTTTTCGAGACGAACAGCCAGGTTAGTTTTGTCAACGACACTAGATTTGTTTTTGAGGCAGGAGTAAATTGTAGTGTCGTCCGCGTAGATGTCTACTTGGGAATCTATGATGTCAGGAAGATCGTTAATGAAGACAATAATTATATATATATATATATATATATATATATATATATATATATATATATATATATATATATATATATATATATTAAAATAAAGAGAAAGAACAGTAAGAGTTATAATCCAATGTTCTTATGAATTATTTTTAGTTTTAAAAACAGTGCTCAATATAATTCTTCAGAGCATAAATATATAATATAAAAGGCTCAAACACTAATATTCCATGGTTATAATTTATTACATTGGAATCACAATCAGGATCCAATACATCAGATCTACAAATTCAAAAAGAAAACAGAAAATATAACAAATTTTCATATACACATCACCAGTGTAACTTGGCTAGATTTTAAATTTGGATCGTATAATCATTTATTGTGTCTAATATCACCACAAATGTATGCACACTTTTCCGGTGTCGTTTTTTTTATTTTAAGTCAACGAATCTGTAGTAGATTTATGCAATTAATAATAACTCATATATATATATATGTATCTCAATCATTTAAACGGTTATTTAACTTCTCTCTTTAAAACTTCTCTCCTTGAAATTTTAATCCCCCACCTTCACCTTAAGGTCTTTTCTGTTCTTCTTCTGTTACACTCCCTCTCTAAAGCTTTCATACATTTCCCTCTCACACTTATTTCTCACTCCCACACATACACTCTCACTGAAATTTTCTTTTTATACCCGGAGTTATATTTTTAAGGTAAAAAGCACCTTACCAACTGGGTGCTGCAGAAGCAAACATAATTCGAAATCAAGAATATATCCAATGTTTGAGCCTTTTAGACTATACTCTTGCTCTATCTTGTACATAGAGCTCTACCTGGATTTTATCCTCTTGGAAACATATATATATATATATATATATATATATATATATATACCACTAATGTTATCAATACACACACACACATATATATATATTGTTTAAAATGTACTATATTTGTGGAAAAATAGAAGTCTATATGCGTATGAGTGTGTGGAAGGGCGGGCCTATTTTTACAATGTGCGCTTGAGTCCATCTGGGATCATTTGATTGATTGACATTTTACGTCTCATCGATCACTTAAAGCCGAAACATATATCGATTTCTAGTAAGCTTCTTATAGTAACCGGTGTTCCCAAGCAGTCCCCCACTTCAGTAGTGACTGGGTTCGATGCTACTTAACTTCGGTGATCCAAAAGGGAAATGCTGTTTTAAGTATGATTTGAGCCTGTCTTCTAGGCGTAGAGATATTTATGTAAATTTCAGGTCATGCTATCATCATATATATACTTTTGCGTACATATACACTCATAGAAGGGCATCTCTAGGCGGTGTAATGGTTAGCAAGCTTGTCTCGCCAGAAGAATTACTAATATATATATATATATATATATATATATATATATATATATATATATATATATATATATATATATTCAACATCTTCTTGATAAGACACCGGACGTGTTGAAACAAAATGGCTATTTTGTAGTATATTTTATAACATATTTATGTTATAAATTTTAAATAAATAATTATATCTGCTCTACCCTGTATTGAGCACTCTTTTAAGAATAGTAATTGTTGGTTATTGGAATTCATTCCGTATACACAAATTTTATATATATATATATATATATATATATATATATATATATATATATAATTTTAATACTTTGGAGGAGAAAACTATTTACTGATAGAAGTTCAACTAATTGACCAATAATTTGGGGAGAAGTTAGACTCATACCTTTCGTAAGGATATTTACGCGTAAGCGAATATAACGAACCTAACTGGAATTAGAACTCGGCTCTCCGATTTCCAATTCCGATCCTTTATCCATTACACCATGCGCACCTCCAAGAACTACCAAAGGATTACAGATTAGGATGCAGTGTTTATGGAGAGATGTTGAGAAGATAACGGTTGACCTTAGATTTGAACAGGTTAAGATTGTTGTGATCGTCGAAGCATCCTCTTGGGAGTCGGTTCCACAATGAAGAGGTTCGTGGGAGGAAGCTGCTCGTGTGGAACTTGCATCTCACCAATGTCTGAACATGGCGGATCTTAACAGTTAAGGTTAGAACTGGTGGAACTAAAAAATGTAGTTCTTCTGAACATTTTCCATAGAAATAGCGATAAATCAAGCAGGGGGAGGCTTGCGGCTTTTCATCTGTGGGAAAGGGTTTGTAAGTTGGAAAATAATTCGTCACTCACAAGTAAGCGGAGGCTGGAAATTGAAGACAGGGTAATTCCTGCACATATATGGCGCAGGTACTCTATTTTCGGTATCATCTCGCTCTTGTAAAGTTAGCAGAAAGCAGGAAAAGTCATGTACTTACTCGGTTTCTTCGGAGAAGACTCGATAGTAACTGCTTTTATCATGGGTTTTTATTCTAAACACTCTTTGTGGTGAATATAGAAGCCACCACACATATGAAAGCTAGCTAAGTGATATTCAGTGAAGATATTATCAATCGTCTCTGCCATCCGGTCGAACATTACAGTACCATCATTCTGAGGATGATATAGTTAAAATGAAAGTGGTACTATAGACGAAATCAGGGTCATTGGGGAGTTTTTTTTTCTCCGCCATATGGTAACCCGTCCTTCATTCTTGCACTGAGATGTATGGAACAAATATTTCAGGAAAAAAGATACAGGCACGATACCCAGAAAGGAGATGTCTCATTTGCTCATAAATAAGTGCAACAAAAATTCTTGAGTCAGAAATATCATACCGGTCTGGGACCTCAGGTAACGAGACAATCTCGTTCATATATACACCGCTGCGGTAACCGTTCCCCCACTTTTTTACGCCGCTGTGATCACAACTCAGCTCTGATTACGGCGCTGTGGTCACCACTACCCTCCTTTTACACCGATTCAGTCACCACTCACCTCCATTTACGTCGCTGCGGTCACCACTCCTCTTCATTTATATCGCTTCGGTCACGTTGCTGCGGTCATCACACCTCTCCATTTAAGCCGCTGCGGCACCTACTCCTCTCTATTTACGCCGCTGCGGTCAATTCTCCTCTCTATTTACGCCGCTGCGGTCAACACTCCTCTCTATTTACGCCCCTGCGGTCACCACTCCTTTCTATTTACGCCGATGCGGCCAATACTCCTCTCTATTTACGCCGCTGCGGTCAACACTCCTTTCCATTTACGCCGCTGCGCTCAACACTCCTCTCTACTTACGCCTCTGCGGTCAATACTCCTCTCTACTTACGCCTCTGCGGTCAACACTCCTCTCTATTTACGCCCCTGCGGTCAATACTCCTCTCTATTTACGCCGCTGCGGTCAATACTACTCTCTATTTACGCCGCTGCGCTCAACACTCCTCTCTACTTACGCCTCTGCGGTCAATACTCCTCTCTATTTACGCCTCTGCGGTCAATACTCCTCTCCATTTACGCCGCTGCGGTCAATACTCCTCTCTATTTACGCCGCTGCGCTCAACACTCCTCTCTACTTACGCCTCTGCGGTCAATACTCCCTCTATTTACGCCTCTGCGGTCAATACTCCTCTCCATTTACGCCGCTGCGATCAATACCCCCTCTCTATTTACGCCGCTGCGCTCAACACTCCTCTCTACTTACGCCTCTGCGGTCAATACTCCTCTCTATTTACGCCGCTGCGATCAATACTCCTCTCTATTTACGCCTCTGCGGTCAACACTCCTCTCTACTTACGCCGCTGCGGTCAACACTCCTCTCTACTTACGCCGCTGCGGTCAACACTCCTCTCTACTTACGCCGCTGCGGTCAATACTCCTCTCTACTTACGCCTCTGCGGTCAATACTCCTCTCTATTTACGCCGCTGCGGTCAACACTCCTCTCTATTTACGCCGCTGCGGTCAACACTCCTCTCTATTTACGCCTCTGCGGTCAATACTCCTCTCTATTTACGCCGCTGCGCTCAACACTTCTCTCTACTTACGCCGCTGCGGTCAACACTCCTCTCTACTTACGCCGCTGCGGTCAACACTCCTCTCTATTATTTACGCCGCTGCGGTCAACACTCCTCTCTATTTACGCCGCTGCGGTCAACACTCCTCTCTATTTACGCCGCTGCGGTCAACACTCCTTTCCATTTACGCCGCTGCGCTCAACACTCCTCTCTACTTACGCCTCTGCGGTCAATACTCCTCTCTATTTACGCCGCTGCGGTCAACACTCCTCTCTATTTACGCCGCTGCGGTCAACACTCCTCTCTAGTTACGCCGCTGCGGTCAACACTCCTCTCTATTTACGCCTCTGCGATCAATACTCCTCTCTACTTACGCCTCTGCGGTCAATACTCCTCTCTTTTTACGCCGCTGCGGTCAACACTCCTCTCTATTTACGCCTCTGCGGTCAATACTCCTCTCTACTTACGCCTCTGCGGTCAATACTTCTCTCTATTTACGCCTCTGCGGTCAATACTCCTCTCTATTTACGCCTCTGCGGTCAATACTCCTCTCTACTTATGCCTCTGCGGTCAATACTCCTCTCTATTTACGCCGCTGCGGTCAACACTCCTCTCTATTTACGCCGCTGCGGTCACCACTCGTCTCCATTCACGCCGCTGCGGCCACCTCTTCCCGCCATTTACTCCGCTGCCGCCACCACTCCTCTCCATTTCACAATTGTGTTCTATGATGGGATTCAATGCAGAATAACAGAATGGTTCACCGGGTTTCTTTTACACCCCGGGGATGTTGAGGTTACTCCGTCCCTCCTCTCAGAAATTAAAGAGGCATGACTTACAAGGCAGCCGGCGGTTTGAATTCAAAGTTTTCATTTTCCTAGACTGACGATTTAAGCCATACACTAACCAGACTACATTCCTACCCCACCCTCTCCGCTTCTCAGCCGTCCCGACAATATCCAAATGAATAAGGGGCATTACATTTGAGGACGGTTTAAAGAATTACCGGAAAGATGTCAGTGTTGACAGCCAACCGCCTTCGGGGTTCCATTCCGAGTTTCCTGTCTGGATTTACTTCCATAGGCTTTTCTGTATTTTGGGTATGACCGAAAGGTTTAAAATCAAAGTTTTCCTTTCCCTCCATGGACTGCTTTTTCTACCTCTACCCGAAACATCTGGTTATGAGGCGCCAATTTTACGCCTTCGCCAGTTCAGTCTTGGAGGCTGTTTGAGACGCGTGCTACGGAAGCATTTAATAGACACTGGGAGAAGGAGATAAGAAAGATTGCTCAGGGCTGTATTAGCATCCCCTAAACCCATTAGATTTAATATTATAGTAGAAACAAAATTACGTGAGCAAAAGATAGCGTTTATCTGTTTTTGGTTTTTTTTTCTGGGGTATGCAAAGAAAAAGAAAAATACTTCTAACATGCATTGAGAGCTGTAATGAAATTCAGATTTACGAAAGAAAATAAAGAAGCAAATTAACGTAAACCCATAAATCCTTTTATATAGGAACGAAAATAAAATTTTAAATTTCAGATATGCTTGATTCTGCTAAACAGATTAAATAATACTAGTTTTAAATCGTGGAAATTTCGCGGTTTTGAAATTTCTGATGGATAGTAATACTTCAGTTAATGATTGAATAAGCTCATGGCGCGTTCTACGACAATAAAATATCCGTAGAAAATGCCCTATCACCATCTGTGCTGATATCCGTTACGCTACACGCACAGCCGTTTATCGAGCAGTGTTGTTTTTATTTCACGATCTTATATTTGATATATTTCTTTTTTATTTATAGGCAGGGTGTTTATAAATGATTACACACATTTTGAAGCTTTCTCAAGAAATAATTCAAGCAATTAAAATTAACTTTTTCTTTTCTTTTTTTTTTTTTTTAATAATCTCCCCCCAAGTAATGCGGAAATGCCACTAGTACGCATGGGGTTACAGGGAGTGAAATTGAGAGAAAAGACTGAGTATAGGGACGATTGAGGAAAGGACAAAAGATGAACGAGATTCAAGAAGATAGATGATGGTGATCGACGTTGCATTTAAATTTTTGAAGATCGTATTTACCAGGAAAGCAAGTAAACGGAAGGGTGTTCCACAGGCCGGAAGTGCGAGAAAAGAAACTGTTGGAGTAGAATTGGCTGTTGCATTTAGCTATTTTAATAGTAAACGGTTAGGGTCTAGATGCCAATCTAAATTCCTGTAATTGGAGCACCAGGGGGAAAAGCTCGTCAGAGCAGTTGCCCTGAAAATATTTGTAGAGTAGACAGGCACGCGACATCGTTGAGAATGTGACTGAAGTCGAGATTCCAAGTCAGGATGGATTACATTTCGGAGACTTTGGATTTCGTTAAGAACCTCGAGATGAATAGCAGGAGATATGGCAGCGCTATTCTATATACAGAAGAATGGTAGTTTTATAAATGAGCAAGATGCATTCTGACAAGAAAAATTGTCTGGCACTACACAGTGATCCAAGTTTCCTTGCAACTATATCGAATTTAAATAATATATATGACGCCGGTATTTATTATAAGCTAGTTTTAACCCGTGGAAATTTCACAGTTTTCCTATTTTAAATATTCTGATGAATCTCATATACTTAATGAGTAAGCTCATGGCGAGTTCTATGACAATAAAATATCTGAAGAATTTCCTCTATCGCATCGTTAAAATGTTTAAGCTTAACAACTTTAACAAAATATTGCAATAACAATCATAAATATGAATGCTGAATATTATATTAAGAAGTGGGTACAAATGAAAAGATTTGAATTTGACAATTTTTTTCATTTCACTGACGCAGACGTTAGTCAGAATGGTCACCGTCCCTTCATTTCTTTAATTTTCTTTCTCAAACAAAGTAGCGTTTTTATACGTATTTAATCTTCTCACGCAATCAAAACGGAATAGTCCCTTGTTTATTAGGTGTTAGCAGGATATGTTAATCATTTCTATCTATTTTTCTTGTGAAGCTTGGTTTTACTATGCGTTATTTTTCTCACCGTCGATGATACAATTAATGTGGTCACCAGTCTATGTCTAAAATTCTGTGAATTTTGTTAGTCTGTCTGTCCGTCACATCCTCTAAAATTAGGTACCTCCATGAGCTCGCTAAAAAAAAGAGCATATCATGATGAAAAAGACGCCAAACTTGACGAAAACCAAATTTTATCGTCTAAATGGTTATGTTATTATTAAGAGGAAAGATCAAAGTTGTTTTTAATTATTTTTCTTTAATTTTTCCTTCTTTTTAGAACATTCTAAATTTTGATTAAAAAAACCTTGTTTCTATTTGTATCAGCGGAACTAGTAAAATAATATATACAATTTTTAGCACGTTTTTTGTATGACACACATTAATTTGAAAAATCTTACAAAAATAAAAATAATTGTCGGATGTTAATGAAACTTTCAGAAATTATTCACAGATGATCGAAATTATTATAAATATGTTTTCTTTTATTAAAGTCATGGCAGAAATATTTTTTTATATTTATTACCCCCACCCCCATAATTAATTTATGAAAATGCTAGAAATTCGATTGAATCCAGTTTTGTGATTACAATAGTTAAAAGCACAAGACTTTGATGAATGCAAATCATGTTTTTTGTTTTGTTTTTAATTGGACCCCCCCTACCTGAAAATCAGCTCTGAATTGTAACATACAAATTCAATAAAATAAAGATATAATTTAATTTCCAATGCTTTTATTTGCTTTTAGTTGTTTTTATGAATATGGACAATATTTTCTGAAAGCAAAAAGAATTTTCGATGAAAAATGAATTTTTAATACAATTATTTGTTATTTCTTTAATTATAATAAATTTTTACATTTAAGTTGTTAAAATATTATAAAATTAGTTAAAAGCCGTATCTGCTTTCGTAAGTGTACTTATAAGATAGATCTTTTTAGCGCGTTGTAAATTGTATCGTTTTGGCTAATCAGAAGATCCGCAGTAATTAAGAAATGTAATTTTGTGTTTATAATCGGGCTTTAATTATAAAGTACGGAAGACCAATCAGAATACAATTAAGTTGCTTTATTTGAGTTAAGCATTGTTCGCCGCTGTTAAGGCCTTTACTTTTGCGAAACACGTGTTCAGAAGTTAATCTGATTTTTCAATTTCAACTGAGAAGGGTACCTACAAGCGTCAGTATCATCTTCTGAAATTTATATGATCTTATTTTTATATTAATCTCAGTTATGACATTTTTTCATAAATAAAATATCAAAATTAATAATAAAATGAATGGAAATACAAATAACAGTAAAATGTAATAAATGTACATAAAATTATAGTATTTTATGTAGACCTCTGATAAAATTTCCTAAGAAAGGTACCTATAAATTAATTAGATACCTTTCTTATGAAATTTAATCTCACTCTTAACAGCTTTATTTTAATTTCTTAATAATGTATTTTACATAAAGCATCGTAAACGTAAAGGTGATCGCTAAATACAAAAAAAAATTAGAGCACTGAATGTTTTCTTTAAAAATAACGAGTTAAGTAATTTGTTCACTTCAGTCCAAATAACTTCACTTTTCACCTTCCGTAGAACAAATTATCCTCCCGTAATCCGCCAATACGTCATTCAACACCTGTCAAGTGAGGCGAAAGTTTATGACCTGCTTTGTTTTATTTTCAAACTATATCTTTTCGGCGCAGAAGCATAAGTTAAGCTTGGTTCAAAATGTTTTAAACAAACATTATAATTTCTGATTTTCTTAAAATAAGTTTTGAAAAAATGATGGTTTTTAAAAGAATTTCAAACTGAGATTTTCATTTTTTTTATATGGAAAAAAAATGGATGACATGATTATCTGTCAATTTTGCTGACTCAAAAAAACAAGATTTTTAACGGAAATTTCGGACGTGCTAAGAACGATTAAAAATGTAACAAAATATCCCCAAAATACTTTGATCTTTCCTCTTAATAAATACAGGAACATTTAGACGATAAATTTATGTTTTCATTAAGTTTGGCGACATTTTCATCATGCTATGCGCTTTTTTAACGATTTCATGGAGGTACCTATCTAAAATAGTCATACATTGACCGATCAAACTAAATTTGACAACAGACTACTACAATATGCCGTGTTTGGAACAGGGCGTGTGTTATTAATCCAAAGAATAGTTTATTCCTAAACAATCCGAATATCCTTTCGAATGGACAAGTATCCAGTTTCCAGTTCTCTCTGCATTACTATAAAGAAATATAAAGAATTCACAAGGCCAAACGTTTCAAAACTTTGGAATTTGGCTCCAAATAGAAATATTTACACATGATAAGTTGTATGTTGCGTGCTCAAGAGTAAGAAATCGTAAGCATTTATTCCTCCCCGTTAAAAAGAAAAAAAAGAAAGTTTCTTAAAAGAATATTGTTTATTACGAAGCACAGGAAAATTAAATGAAATTAAAGAAATTATTAAACCACGAAGTAGGTTTTTTGTTAAAGTATTTTTTTCGAAAACAGCTTATTCAAACTTCATTGATTGGTTTACGAAATTAAACGTAACGTAGAGCTTGTAAATCTCGACAAAAATGATAGCAATAACTTCTACAATACTAAATACTAAAGACTAAGGATTTCAAAACGTGTTAGCATGAAGGGGAAAGATTCTAGTTATAGAAAATCCGTAAATATTTCTGAAGATAGTGAAACCGGTGTTTGTCCTTGAATAGGCAAAGGCCTATCTTTTGGGACATTTATTTTTGTGGGTACTTCTGATGTGGCCACAAATTCAAGAAAATCCGTAAATATTTCTGAAGGTAGCGAAACCAATCCTTGAATAGGCAAAGGCCTATCTTTTGGGACATTTATTTTTGTGAGTACTTCTGATGTGGCCACAAATTCAAGAAAAATCCGTAAGTATTTCTGAAGGTAGTGAAGCCGATGTTTGTCCTGGAATGGGTGGAATTAAATATTGTGGTTTATTCCTTTATGTAGGTAATTCTGATGGGGCGGTGAATTCAAGATAATCCGCAGATTGTTTTGAAGGCAACAAAAGTAATAATAATTCTAAAACAGCCGAAAAGGTATCACCGTAGACATTATTTTCGCCCTGGGTTTTCTTTGGCATTGAACTGAATAGAAATGTTTCTATCTTTGTTGATATAATCACCGCGTTTCATCTCTTTCGGAGTTTGAGAAATTATCAGCTTCTTACATTACTCTATTCAAAATGTTATCCTCGTCGCTATTTTTCTATTTTGCCTATCTTTGTTGAACAAGTTACATACAGGAGGAGACAAGAGACAAAAAAAAACGACACATCAGGATATTCTGTATGAATTTCTGTAACCAGGAATTATCATTATTTATATTATTTATATTTGGACCATTGTCCTCAGCTTTTTGTTACAATGTTTCGGTCGTTGTGCTCTCAAGCCA